TTGTAATAGTAGAACGCAGAGTAACACTCTTGTAACAGTAGAACACAGAGTTACAATCTTGTAATAGTAGAACGCAGAGTAACACTCTTGTAACAGTAGAACACAGAGTTACAATCTTGTAATAGTAGAACGCAGAGTAACACTCTTGTAACAGTAGAACACAGAGTTACAATCTTGTAATAGTAGAACGCAGAGTAACACTCTTGAAACAGTAGAACACAGATTAACACTCTTGTAACAGTAGAACACAGAGTAATAATCTTGTAACAGTAGAGCACAGAGTAACACTCTTGTAACAATATAACACAGATAAACACTCTTGTAACAGTAGAACATAGAGTAACACTCTTGTAACTATAGAACACAGAGTAACACTCTTGTAACAGTAGAACACAGAGTAACACTCTTGTAAAAGAGATGATGAACATTGTATTTATAGATAAATTTGTAAATGAATCAAATAAAAGAAACCAATTTCCATCTATCTGTCGATCACCTTTGGTTATGATATATGTATTATCGCCATTGTTCTTTCTTGTGATGTTCTCCCTAATATTGCATTGATTAAGTTAGACACTTTGGCCATTACAGCTGTTTCTATGTACAACTCTATAGCTCTGTTAGTATGTAGTTTTCTTACCGATCTGTATATCGTCCTTGGAACTAGCTTGTATTCATGTCGATGATGTGCTTTGATATAAATCACAACAAATATGTTGACTAAGCCTACAAACACCATTCATGATCATTGGATCGGCTATTCCCTTGGGTTTTACCTGTTAATGGTTTACAACTAAGACAGAAAGTGTATGAAAAGTGGGACAATTTTAGAGCCAATCCGTCTATTTCCATGTCGTGTAAGTACCCAGCCTGCTTCATCCGCCTGCAAATGTATGTCATCTTAATCTAATGGATGATTTGATAACATAGACATAAAATTAGCTTCATTTATGATAAACTGTACATATTAACAGATTTTGTTAGATAATGGTTTAAAAACCACGTTGTTGTCGTAACACGTACTGTATTCGAAAATGAAAAACGCCCGTGCACATGTTTTGCATGTTCAAATTATAAATAGTAATTTGTAGTCTATATTTAACATCACGTGGTAAGAATTGGCTAATACGTCGAGATAATGACGTGTAATGATATCCCCAATCCAGAGGGAAACAAGCTTATTGTAACACGATATGTACTATCTGCCCAAGATAAGTTGAAATCTCATAAGAAAACAGAGCACATAAGAAGACTCATGGCAGACAAACGTTGATTGTGTGTGGCAGACTTAGCGCGTCGTTTCACATAAGCTATTTTCAATAAGAAATATTGTGTATTTGATTTCCTTCCAAAAATTGTAACATTCGATACACAAGACAAAGCGATATCCCTGATTAAGTTAAATTAACAATGGAGCTGTAGCATGTATACATAGATCCAATATCATGTTCGCCGTACACAACCGATGAGATTGTTAATTCATATCTATGTGAAGTCTGATATGATGTCTAGTTACCTGTGATCAGAAGTACGTTGTCGTTGGTGAAGGGAGGTAATACTCTAACAGGACATGACTGATCCTGTATCTAAAATAAATGTTAACACGTCCTTGTGCGACGTCAAACAATATTTGATTTCTTGAATAGTATTGCAACATTCAGATCTCATTACATAAAATGATTTTCTTCGATTGACATCTGAATGTTGAAAGTGTCGACCATTGGAATTCAAAATTTAGAAGATTTCTTATATTTTTGTTGTTGTTGTTTGGTATTATATATGAAACCGATATACCAGTTCAGCCTGTATATAGGATGCTGTAGAATATACAAAAGTAAAGATAGATATCAAACATACTAGGTATTTAATTCATTTTCTTTTTCCTTTCAAAATTAGTAACACACATTTCGTATTTTTGTTAATGTGATTAAAGAACATCAATTACTATTTAAGTCTTCTATTTCAATGTACATCTTTGGTCAGTCATGATCCTATAAGTAGCTGGCAGTCTTGTTCGGGTCTTAATATATTTCCTGAGTCTCGTCTGTTGTAATAAGAAATGCTTTCCAGGGTATTCTTTTTCGCGTGACACACCAGCTGAGACTGATAACATTTAGCTGTATCCTCTAGTTGGATCAGAATGGTCAAATATGGAATGTAATTGTATGCTGATAACGGATGGCATAAGGCGAAAGATACAGACAAATGGTCAAAGACGACCCTCGGGGGAAGTAGAGGTGATTTCAATCGTATATAATTTAATCAAGAAAAAACCTATTCGATTTTAAAATTAGATTTCAAAATGGAGATGATGGTGATACCAAATGAAGGTAGTTGTTTCTCTATTTTCCTTTTCTGTGTCTCATTGGAAAAGAAATAAAGTATAGGTGTGAAGAGACAATCTAATCATACTGCTGTGGTAAATTAAGCAATATGATACATCGGGGGGAGGTCCGTCATTATATCAGTAATAGTATTTGAAAATCAGTTCGAAAAATGATAAATTCTTATCCAACAATAATTCTGATATAAATGTTTTTAGGAATTACAGTAAAAATAGACTCTTTCAATTAAAGACGACATCGTGTTTGTGAGGAGTTCAGTATGGACCATGGTTTATTTAGAAAACATACACATTCTTAATCAGACGACGGAGATTTGCATTAAAAAAGACAAACAACATTAGGCATAAAAACTTCCAATTTCAAAAAGGCAGCTGCATGTATTTTCCTCTAATTCAGAATAATTCAATAAAATTCTATTTCAGATCGCTCAGAAAGGAAAGTGCGACTAAACCTTAATGAATTATATAATAACTGATTCAGCGTTCACTTTATTGATTAAAATTTAATTAGAAATATTTCTTGACAGGTATTTATAATGTAAATTATTATAGGTGCTATGAATAGTATGCAACACAATACATAAATATTGATTGAGACGGCAACAGCTTACTGTTCATTATAAACTATAGAACGAGGAAAAAACCCCATGGAATACATATTAGATATAAACATGAATGCCTTGATTATTAACGGGCACCTCACCTCACGAGCGTCTATTGTAGTTTGACTGACTTATTCTCTGGAGGTTGTATTGTAGCAAGATAAATCATATCAAAATCAGTTCCAGTACTTTCGTCAGAATTATCTTTAACAGCACACAGGAAAAGTTAAAAAATCTGTGAGAATAATTACACGGTACATGTGAAAAGATAAAGCCAAACATTGTTTTTTTATATATAAAACATTGCTTTATGGATGATAAACAGCACAAAGGAGCAAGGTAAATTAACAGCAGGCCAAGAGTTGTTTTTTAAACAGAAACCATCCCGATGTTGTATCGTTTCTGTCGAGATGATGAGAGGTTACATTTGGCTACCAAATCTCGTACTTAAGGCATTGTTTGTAATTCGCTGACATAAACGATGGAATTTGGGAAATAAATAGCGTTACTATAACAAAGTGTCAGTGGTGGGAAATGGAATCTACGGCGAAGAAACCTTCATCATTTTCAGATTCAACTAGTGCATACCAAGGCCAATGAAGCACCTGGTGTTGAAAGTGTGAAAAACGATGTGTAACTTTTGAAAAGGCTATTTCATGCCAGTCTTTGCATCGGACAAAATGCATCATTGTCTCCGTAAATGTAAAACTATTCCTATTTCAGTAATGAAAAAAAAAATGTATTCAGTAAACAGAGCAGGCATGGCATATTTTCTGTAAAAATGGCACTGCATACTACTTAAGTGTAATGCGAATCGACAATATTACAAGAAATGTAATTGATACAAAGACATAACATTTCTTTTGTGTATTTTAAACGTTTAAGACCTCGGCGTATATCTCCACATGTATTCTTCGGTCCAATCATCGTTGGTCAAATGTGCTAAGCCCAGTAATATTGAACTTTAATTTGTCCTGGAAATTCCATTTTTCAAAAAAAGTTCTTTAAAGAATAAAGTGTTATTGAAAGTGAAACTATTATAGGTGATTCCGTTAAGTATTTTCTGTTGGCGGAATATCTCTCTTCTAAGTAAAAGCTAGCGAAAAAGTGTAAAACTGTTTTTATGTACTGATTTAATTCAGGTAAGCATTTTATCAACTTATCTAACTCTATACTGAGGCTGTCATATATGTTGATTTTATCAACTGATATAACTCTGTAGTGGCGTTTTCAGGTAAGATTTTCTTCAATTGGTTTAACTCTATTTTGAGATTGTCAGGTAGGTTATTTCATCAACTGATATAACTCTGTAGCGATGTTGTCAGGTTGTTTTATTTCATCAACTGATATAACTCTGTAGCGATGTTGTCAGGTTGTTTTATTTCATCAACTGATATAACTCTGTAGCGATGTTGTCAGGTTGTTTTATTTCATTAACTGATATAACTCTGTAGCGATGTTGTCAGGTTGTTTTATTTCATCAACTGATATAACTCTGTAGCGAAGTTGTCAGGTTGTTTTATTTCATTCACTGATATAACTCTATAACAAGGTTGTCAGGTAGGCTAATTTCACCAACTGTTTCAACTCAGCAGCAAAGTAAGGTTTATTTCACCAACTGTTTTAACTCAGCAGCAAAGTTAGGTTTATTTCAACAACTGTTTTAACTCAGCAGCAAAGTTAGGTTTATTTCACCAACTGTTTTAACTCAGCAGCAAAGTAAGGTTTATTTCATCAACTGATTAAATTTTTTTAGTAAAGTTGTCAGGTAGGTTTATTTCACAAACTGATTTAATTTTGTAGTAAAGTTAGATTTATTTCATGAGCTGTTTTAACTCAGCAGCAAAGTTAGGTTTATTCCATCAATTGATTCAATTTTGTGCTAAAGTTGTTGTCAGGTAGGTTTAATTCATTAGTTGATTTCAGTTGATTGTCAAGTAACTTTATTTCATCATCAATATTTTGTGAAGTTGTCAAGTAGCTATATTTCGTTTTAGCAGAAATGTAGTGAATAACATGTGAATCTAAGATACATCTATTTGACATTGACTTACCTGTCGATTGCGATGGCCATGAATGTGAGGACACTGGCGGTCACTGTACATAGACTGATGAATAGTGTAAATCGACAATAAGCGTCTCCGTACCACCAGTCCTGGTACAAACAATAGGTAAACGTGAACAATGTGTTCAGGACAGAGATAAGAGTGTCCGCAATAGCTAAGTTCACCAGGAAGTAATTTGTCACTGTTCGCATTCGTTTGTGCGCCATAACAATCCAAATGACGATGATATTTCCCGCCGCGGCGACGATGAACAACAACGAAAAAGCGGTAATAAAGATAAACTGTTGCCACCATGGTAAGTTGAATCCAAAAACCATGTGAATAGTTTCGTTGTCATTCGTGCTGTTACTTCCAAGTAAAGCCATAACTGTTTATTGAATTTCAACTTCACGAAATATTTGTCTAATCTGTAGTTCCTCGGAACGTGTTTCTCCTAGTGTTGTTAACTATATTAGAAAGCTAATATATTCTAAATTTACACATTTGGGTAGGCTCATATAGTAAGGAATGTAACAAATTAAACAGGTGATACTTGTGAAATATATATAACATATCACAACATTCTATCTGAGAACTCTTGTTTGAGAAAGAGTTCAAGACAATTCAGAATATTTGTGAGAATCCGATGGCTGTTGGTTTCCAGTCTTCTTTGAAAAGGCGAAATACAGAAGAGCCTATCAATATGATCGCTGAGTGCGCAGAGTAAAAATCCGTCGGCTGCGGAGTCTACGCGAACTCAGTGTACACTCAGCATATGTTGTCCCTTATAATATATTACAGACTATATGAGAATCCATGAATGAATGTATAGATTCGCAGCGCTGTTGGCCAATACCTATCAGTGGTTGGCTCTCTCACTAAGATTTCGCTGTTCGTTAATAACATATACTTTACCAGTGGCTGAGTGGCGGTACCTACCGCTATGTTCGGTACTGGGATATTAACACTAGACAAGGCATAACCGATTATACATGTTGTTGTCGTTCGATCTAAAATTAATATTTGATGGTCTTGCCATGACTTAGTTTGTGGCGAAAGTCAATCCTTATCTAAATACTTTGATAATCAACCTGCCTTGATAAAGGTTAATTTGTTACGCGGGAGGCGTCACATTCTGCGCTATTTGTGTACTTTAGACCTGTTGACTTTCACAGGCAAGGTTTCGAGGATATTGCATAGAAGTGTTATGTTCACCGATGATATTAACGACAATTAGCTTCAATGCATCGCTGGTAAAGAGGGCGAATGTCTTGACTAACATGTTACGGCAGGAAAGACCAGTAAAGGAAACACAGCTGACAGCTTCCATCTAAGGAACTATTTACACGTTTAAGTTCCAATTAGTTTCTACGGCATTTGTAGTAAATGTCGAAAATAAACTCAAAGTCTTCCACATTCTTATACGGAATACTAGAGCTCGAGAGGAAACTATTTTTTTCCAAACAGTAATGAGCTTTGTACAACTTGATTGCCCATCTTTCTTGTAGATTCGAAGTGACATTTTTTTTGTCTTGTGTCCTTGTGTCCCTTTATTCTCCACACCAAAGTTGCTACTTTTTATTGTTTGTTCAAATGCCAAGTCTCTCTCACACTTGCAAGACACACTGTTTCACGTTGTAAAAACAGATCTCCTAAACTAATTCTGTACTTCGTTGAAATAGTCAGGATGCGTTTTGGTGTATTAGATCGAGAGTGAAACTTGACGAAACACCATAAAACCCCCCAAAACACTCTCTGTTTGTTGTTAGGTCTGTCGTTCAATTAATATCATAATTTCTCAAACATTTACTGAAAAATGTCGATTCAGATTCTGATTTTAACAGTAATTATCTACACGGAGAAACAGATAATACTTACACATAATTGTAGTTCTCGTGTGTCTCAGCATTTCATCAGGATTCACCATTTTACCAGTATCATATCTATGTTTAATTGATAACGAAAGTGAAATAATCGGAAATCTGTAAATGAAATTTAGAATCTGCGAGCTCAAATTTTAACACTGTGCATCGGGATTTTCTTTTAAAAAAAGTTAGATTGATGTGACAGCATCTATTAGGAGGGGTGTATGTCAGGATTATGTTATGGTGAGTACGATAACAATATTTTCTTCAAAAGTAATTAAGCAGTCATTTTATTAAGCATTATCTCTTCTCTATGCCTCAAGTTCGGCGTTTCATGCCCCTATCTCACTATATGGAGATATATTAAAACGTACATGACGATTTAGGTAAGCCAAACATTCCTTGATAAGGTACGTAAATGACAGCTGACCTATGGCAACGTTAACTACAATTATATACATAAGAACGAGTCAAGTAAAAATCAATTGAAATGAAACAAAGTTATACCTGTATATGTATGTATGTATTATTCAACAAAATCTATATTCTTCTCATGCATGATAACATAGAAGAACATTGACTGTGGAAACAGTTTACCACGCGGTGCTTATTGGTTAAAGTAAAGTTATTCGAAAGTTCCAGAATACTGCAGCACGTCTGGTTAGCCGTTCTCAAAAGAAGAGCGCACTATGCCAGTACTATATATTTTGCATTGGTTATGTATACGATACAGGTCACAGTACTTTATATTTAAAACTACAAGGCATTTAATGCAACTGTCTCTCAATACTCTCAGGAAAATGTCACCATTTATCTGCCTTCACGATCACTGTCATTTAAGACATTTGCATGCGCTTTAATCTCCTTTACTGTGAAGTATGGTAACCAGAGTTTCGGAAAGGTAGCAGCCACTTTTTTAACGTTTACCATCTACTACCAGAAAGTATGAAACCTAGTCTGCTTTCGTTGGTATTTTATATATGATTTTTCATTTCAGATTTAGAAGTGGTTTTCTCAGTGGCTTCCAATACATCATCCGGAGTAGAATATTGGCCTAATGGTATTGCCTTCTCCCGTTACCTCATTACCTTGGTGAAGAACTGCTGCACTATACATCCCCATCTAGTGGCACCTTTCTGCCGTGTATACTCTTCCTTCATCAGGTCATCAGCTCGCTTGTCTGTCTTATAGATTCAAACTGGTTTGTCCAGGATCTGATAACGTGGCGTCATAACTAACTGTCATATCTACATGTTCGGTATATCCTTTCAATGAAAGTCTAACTGCTTGTAGAACCGTTGGTAGAAAGAATTTCTTGTTGCATTAGGAATAGTGGACCTCATATACATGTATGTAGCTTCATTGTTCGTTGGTGATGTCCGTCTCTCCGTTGTCGTCAAAAATGAGGATATGCGTGGCATCTGTCGATGTACTGTTACTGGATGGTCGTCTGGGTCATCCCTGCCGTGGGTATAATGATCTATTGTCCGTTGAATAGCTCCAACTTGTGTCTGGCCAAGCCTAACATCTATCATTTAAGGTCAGCAAGGGAGACAAACTTCGAATCAGACTTCTGCTTAACATCTAATGTGAAGAAGATGACTAGTGAATCCTTCCTCCACCTGTGGCCTTTATCGACTCCTCTTCTGCCCCTCCACGGTAGGATCAGACATGCAATACAAATTACTAAGATGGGAGTAGAACCAACGGTGTTATTGTGAATTCTTATGTCAAAAATACTTGGTAGTTGATATGTATAATGCTTACCAAGACAATTGAGTTGATTAATAATAGGGTAGATGATAACTGACTAGCCTATACAACTGAAGGCAATGTCACTACTTATCTCTGTGATCAGTTATAGTTATCCTAGTTATTTAAGTGTGCAACAGGGGAAAGGGGAGGGGGACAATGAATACCTGTAGAAGTTGAGATTTATCCAAATGTAAAGTTGTGTAATTTTACTTTCAGATATATTGATGACGTCTTGTCTTTAAATAACTAGAACTTTATTGACCACGTCTATCGTATAAACCCACCAGAACTGGAAATTTAAGACACGACAGACTCTTCTACATCAACTGCTTATCTTGATTTCTTTTCCTACAACGAAACCATAATGACATATCTTCCTCCAATCTGTATGCTAAACGTGATGATTTCAATTTCCCTATTGTGAATTTTCCATTCCTTGATAGTAAAATAACTACATGTCCAGCCTGTTGTATTTTTATGTCACAGTTGATTCGATATTTAAGGGTCTGGTCCCATTATCACGATTTTACTGCAAGAAGTCGCCAACTGACGGACAAACTCGTAACACAGGGTTTCAAAAAATGCAGGTCGATGGAAATTATGGGAAAGTTGTATGGTCATCATAGTAATCTCATTGAGAAACATTCTATTTCTTTGTGTGATATGAAGCTCGACGAGTTTTATGCCCCTTATTTTACTTTTTGGTTCAGTTGTTGTATACCTAGTTCTCATTTGAGAAGCAGACATTCAGTACTTGTATTGACAAATGTATACATGGCGGGTGTCCTCGATGAAGTAGAAGACGCTTACTCTTGTACTTTTTCAGGAGTCTCCATGTAATAAAATTTCTTTTGTTCATATCCTGCCCTAGTTTTATGGAATTTCAGTTTGAATTATGATTATATCATATTGCAATGTTGGTATTTTTATTTGGTATGTTATTTAAAGTGATTCACACACACACGCACACACACTTACACACACACACACACACACACACACACACACACACACACACACACACACACACACACACACATCATTTATGATCTTGAGATTTTATTGAATGAAGCAAATTATTCAGGATCTTGCACATATTGCAGAAAGAAAATCCCCCGCCTTTTGTGTTCAAGTATAGATTACTGTTTCTAGTATTTTGTCTGTGCTATTAATTCTTTCTTGTAAGATTTTTTGAATATTGAAAACTTAGTTAAAATGATGCCGACACCTGGGTATTTCTCTAGGTCATATTGTGAGACAGCTGCCTTTTTGTTTCTTATTTGTTTATTTTTTTATTCATAATGTAATTTTATAATCTCCAGATATCAACTTGTTCCGTATAATACTGAAATATTTAACACACACATGAAATAGAGAAAGAGCTGTGAGATAATTAGGGCCAAACAGAAACTCTCTGTTTTTCTAAGATCTAAGGAAAATACATTAACAATAAATCAGACGTCACGTTAGATAAAAGTTTAGTGATTACAGTTCGATGTATGTGCGAAAAGATGATTGTACTGTCATCTGGTAACATGTGGGTCAACACTGATACTCATATCATTTACATAGATCATTAAAAGAAGGGGTCCCAATAATTTTGATTTTATACAGTCAACCAGATGAATCAAACTCGAGTCAGTGAGGTAGGATCTTCGCGAACCAGATTTGAATTCGTGTGAAATACTGCTATCAATTACAAACTGCTCAAGCTGCTTGTATACGACTTTCCCCCCATAATTGTGTAATCGATACCCTAAATACCC